TTGAGTTTAAAAGTCTACAATTCTCGTTAAATTGCAGCCGAATAATATGTAAATAATGTCTCAAATGAAATTTAATTAAGAAATATGTTTTGATTACTTTCAAGCGATTATGAATTGATTTGTAGAGATATTTCCGAAGCGTTAACATTCTATGCGTGATTTTTTATCTGCAGGCTAATTATGTTCTGTGATAGATTCTAACATACGTAAATTAATTTAACAGAAAAAAATGCACACAATCTGAAATTTTGAATGTAGTTAAATATATACATAAAGTTTTCTTGTAAGTGGTTATTGGTAATATTATGGAATTGTTTTTAAATTTGTTTATTTACAGTCGACCCCCTATAACACTGTTGATAATTCCGTTCTATATGAATTCCATGTTGTACGAGTCACTTAGATTTTACAAAAACGTGAGCCGTTCACAGCCCGGCACACGAATTTATAAAATGTAAGTGACTCGTACAACATGGAATTCATATAAAACGGAATTGTCAACTGTTTTTAGGGGTCGACTGTATTTTATTCAAGAGTGAAAAGACCAGTACACGAAACAGAGACATTGAGAATTTAGATAATAATATGTGAGAATCGGGATTTAGCATGGGAGTCATTTTTAAAAAAAATTAGTGAATAAACAGAACGTTGTTTTTTCGACTAAAAAAAATATTTTTCGGAGAGAAGTTAAACAAAGAAAGGATGTAGTTTCCGTCATTTTCGAAAGAGGGGAAGCAAACTTCTTTCCCTATGGCCGACTTGGATGTTGAGTCGAAAGCGGCTGCACCCGAGACATGGCCATCTGTTAAGCCGTCGACTCGTATAAAAGGGACATTTCTCGACCACTTCGGGCTGTTCAAAGAGGTACGAACATGCCATAGGAAGCAATTAATCGAACGAAGTACTTGCCATATAATATACGATGAAGGCCGTTTCAAGTTAAGAGGACCGCCACGTAGATGTTAATCATATTGTCATAGCGCATCCATAGATTTTACGATTCCTAAACGTCTCCCTGATACTGAACAAGTTCAGAGCATTCAAATACAAGATAAGTACGAAAATTCAGAAGGTAGTATAAATCTGTTAGATTGATATGAACCCTTTCCGCGCATAAGTGTTAGATTTTGCGCGATGAGGTTATATTTAAATTTAAGTCGTATAGTTTGATCGCTCTACGAGATAAAGCCCGAATGTAATTGGTAATTTCATTTATTGTATTTTTATTCAATTGTGTATTTTAATAAACGATTTTATTCATTTCGCACTCCAACTCACTCAACGGATGACACATTAGCTTTTCTCGGACATTGTCACTAGAACGTCACAGATATATATAATTACACGTAAACGCGAGTTAGAACGCGTATTTTAAATGATCCTTAACTGGTGTCAGGAAATCCTGACAGGAGACACGATTGTAAAATCATAGTCTTTAATTGTTTTCCAGCAACGTAAGTCTCTCCACACACGATATATTTTAGTAGTAAAGCCATCTTTGTAGACAGACAAAACCTGATTTAACGATTACGCGCCGATTAAGTGGTATTTAATCATAACGATATTCTATACTCCCGGCTAATCTCACAAATATATCTTTTGTAATATAACACGAATTTTTAATATTTAATATATTCACAATAAAATATTAAAACATGCGTACATGCAAAGGGTAAGTAATGTTAATCTTCATACGCTTTACCTGATTCTATTGCACAACTTCATTACTTTTTTATACAATTGCCAAAAGGCTAAAAATAGACAATACGTTTACAAAATATTCCAAGAATTGTTTGTTCAATCAAACTGATATAATCTTTTCAGATTTCCGGAAATTTTTGTGAAAAACAAGTGATTATGTTTCAAAAATCAAACAATAAAACTATTTATTATTCCGTGACATTAATTGCTGCAATGACTTGCTTCTCGTTTATAATGTTTTATTAAAATTTTACTTATAGTTTGTTTAATTACTTTATTTTCTGAATTAAAGTAAGCGTAATAAATTAATATCTTAGTAAAACAGTATCGTAAAAATTTAGTCCTAAAATGGCAAATAGTAATTATTACATGACTTGATATTATACACAAGCTAACAGGAAAGCACCACAAACAATAAGAACAAACTTTAAGAATATTTTGTACTTTTAGCTCATCTATTATCTTATATTTTAACATTGAAATTCACAGACGAATATGTAACGATAATCTGCTGACAATCAAATTTTTCGACAAACGGACCAAATATTTAAACGCGGTTTTCTAAAAACCGCTTAGAACATACCTTGTGATCGCTGTAACCTTGTATTATGTAATTTTTTTATTCGAATGCAACTGTACCTTTGGTCGTATGGAAAGAAGAAGGTTGAAGATAACTCGACCAAATGCCGTCGTTGACTTTCTCCTAGAAAAGAAAATGGTCACCGACTACTAATTAACACAGGTCTATTATTAATTAATATTTAAAAAGCGATCTGTGTTGGATAATTTGTGATTGCCCCGCATGAGATGGAAGTTGCTAACCTTAATATCTGAAAGGCTTGATGTAAAACTTAATTAAATACCCAAAATTTTGTAGAAATGCTAAAATAACTCCGTTTAACTCCTTAATAAAGTGTGTAAATTTTTGCAACGTATCGTACATGCGAAGTATTTTTTCGTAAATATCGCGCTTATAGAAAAATTGTTCAGTTGCAAGTTGAAAAAATTGCAGACCTGTCTCCAGATTATGAAAAAACATATAGCAGTCAAAGTTTATAATACTTTGACTGTCTGTATGTTTTTCCTTAAACTGGAGAAACGAGTTACATGAATAAATGTTATGACCGAATCCGGAAGTTTTATGTGTCAGGAAGCCCAGATTAAGTAAAGTATATTCGGTTTTGAACAGGAAACGTATAATGCACAGGGGTAAGACAACCACTAAAAGTATTGAAAACATTCTGATGAAAATTTTCAGCCCGGCATTGTGACGACATCACAATGAATAATCGCACGTGATAATTATTTTTATTTATTTGGTTACTGGAACGCGACACGTGAGCGATCGTCCAAAAAGCATCCCGAAAGTCTTTTATGTAAATTTTCCCCAATTTAGGTTTCAGTAACGCGAAGAAAACCGAAAAAACTTACCGTGACCAGAGAATCTGTTGACAGTGTGCTAACACGCGATTAAATTTTGTGTTCGATTGTTTTAGCCACTCGGTTCCTGATGGATACTTATTGAAATGAAATTTCAGAGAATTGCAGACCTATAAATTCTCAGTGTCGTCTGTCTGCTGTTTACCCTTTCTAAACTCGAAAATGCAGTAAGATTAGAGGAAAGTCGACATCAGACTTGGAAATCGTGATAGAAATATATACGATTTTTTTATATACCGCATGTCACGTTATTTAAATTTAAAAATGTTTTTTTTTACAGAGTTAAATACATAACCGGCACCACTTTATTGCTAACGTAGTAGTATAATGTACAGGGCTACACTTCACGCAGGAAACTACTATGTGCTAAATGGCGTAATGGCGGATCTATTTCGGTCTATATCACTGTCGCAGTAATTCAATGAATACATTAATATTCAGTTAGTTTTATAAAGCAAGATTAAAGAAAAAAATGGAAGAATAATTTCGTATAAACATCAATAAGAAGTATTGCTATTTCAACAAATAATATTTCGATTTTCAGATTTTATAAAGTTCGTAATATAAACGTTTTAGTAAAGTAACGAAAACGTTAAAAATTTATTATCCACTTGTTACTTTCATACTATTAACTTTGAAAGTGCACTTTGGTCGTTTATAACTGATTTCTCTGCTCAGGTTTGTTAGGAATTTGCAGCCGCATTCTTGATTTCTCTTTCGTTTTGGCAACCATCAATAATTTTGTGTGTTTTACTTTTATAAAGTTTTAAGTTTGTTAATTTTTTTTAAATTTTATATTTTGAAAAAATTACCCCGACTTTTGAACGTTTCCTATTATCCAAAAGATATGCATCCTTCTGTTAATTGCATCTGTATGTAAAAATGTGACTGTTAATTATTTGTATTCCTCTGTAAATATTGTTTTAATAAAGGCGATGCGGGCGCCCATGGGGTCCTGTGGGGGCCTTATGGTTGCTTATTTCACATTTTCCTATCTTCCTTTATTTCCTCTTCTCTCTAACTCTTACTTTCTTTTACTCTTCCTTCCTATTCAAACAGGGGTAAAGTCTGCACTAAATCGGAGATAGCCCCTCTTGTCTTTTATTAGAATAGAATAGAACGCTGGAAAAAATACTAAATAATGCTGGAGTTGTCACTCAAAGAATTATAGACCCAAATGCATGGAAAAAAAATAAAGGTTCGAAAATTAAGGGTCAATATTTGCATAACAGAAGATCTATTTAACCTTTCTCACTACTTTTTATTTTCTGTTTTTTTTTTTCATTCCCTCCTCTTTCCAAATTTGGGTCTTTAATCATTTGAGTCACAACTTTAGCTTTATTTAGTAATCTTTCCTCATTCACACATCAGAAAATATTTTCTTTGTAAAACTTCATTTTTGAGTTTATGCCGTTCAAAAAAATAAATAATAAAAAAATTATAACATTTATCGGTTATGTTTACACGTTTATTGGGCTGTATTGGAACTTTTTTTGGGCCGCGGGTTGGACACTTTTGATCTAAGATCTATCTATGTTAAAGGCAATAGTAATATCTTTGAAATAATTAAGTTACCTTAATTTTTTAGTAGTAATCAGTCGTATTTGTAATCAGTTGTATTTTCTGTGCATCTGCAGACAGAAGAATAATGACAGCAATTATCGTTAATAAAAACAAATAAACAACGACAGGAAACTACAGCACGACGTTGTAAACCTGTATTTCTAGTTATTAATCGTTTTCACAAAACTTTCCTCAGAAAAGACAAGAAAACAATGTATATTATAAAACTAATTTAAATGTCATTTAATAAAAAGCATTTGAACTTAACGTTTGTTCCAACGTGAAATCTTATTTTTTGAACGATGAAGAAAGGAATTGTTCTATTTGTGTTATTTTTATTCATAATATTTTGCAAATCAAACGAGGTTCCTGAAAAAGAGATAGAAAATAGTACACAAAACATAAATTGGAGCGAATTAGATAAAACAGTAAAATTTCTGAATGAAGCAGAAAAGAATTACAGAAATTTGGCAAAATCTGTGGTGAAATTCGCTCTTCCATATTTAATGAAACTTTCCGAAGAAACGAATTTATCATCGTCATGTGTTAGGAGTGGAGTCATGTTTATGAGAGATTTAACCCAGTTGAAAGAATGGCCGTTACAAAGTAAGAACTTATACATATTTATTGTTGATAGTTTGATTATGTCAGAAGGGTGACCCGAGAGTCGGCACCTCTTTCGTGCGCCGTCAGGTCTGACACCACCGAGTCTTGTTTGACCCGAAATCCGCGATTGCGAGGTTTGATTTCAAAAGTAGGGCGCAAGCGGCCGCCGGCTCTGAGATCTTTTCCACCGTCTCTGAGATCTTTTCCATCGCGATTGGATTCGCGATGGAAAAGATCTCAGAGACGTCGTACCGGAAATAAATCACTCGAATGTAGGGAATTCGATCCCGGTCCTTATTTCTAATCCCGGAATTTCGGGATTATACTTATTCGATCCCGGGATCCCGGGATTATTTCGGTATTGAGGGTTAATAAAAAATAAGAAAATCTCACAGAAATTAAAAATCAAAATTTAGACAAAAATCAACGTATTTTACGGTATATACCTAGTTAATTTAATCACTCTAANTTCTGCTGCTTGCTTGGAATAAAATTTCTTGTATTTTATATTAAAATGATAGGCAAGCAATTCTGTTAAAAGCACTGGCACTGAACGTTTCGCTTCATGCAGTCTATTTTGCAACTTTTTTAAAATGATGTCAATCCCGAAAATCCCGGGATTACGAAAACTTAATCCCGAAAATTTTGGGACTGAAAAGTGGTCAGGATCCCGGGATCCCGATTTTCGAGATCCCGGGATCAAATCCTCTACTCGAATGATAGATTAACAACTAATAACGATGTAATTTCGAAGAAAACATGATAGAATTTACAATTTAAAAAGACAACATATTTAACGGACCTATCTGTAGACGTAAATGATCGAGAGAGAGCAATAGAGAGAGACTTTAGGTGAATTTCGCGTGCCGATAAATACCTGGGGTTAATTGTGTTCGACAGTTCTGATACTCTTTAATGGGAGATGGAGTTGACTAGTTTTTGATCTTTGCAGCAAGGTTTCTTAGTAACAGTTAATAGTTCATTTTCAGAATGAGTAACAGTAGACGAGAAAGTGTTCGTTGAAGTATTCGTAAGAAGTAGATGTATTCCTTCGAATTTGATAATGCACAGTCTTAAACGGTTCGTGGAACGGACGACGACTGCAACTATCGAGGTACCGGCGACGATTCCTTGACTGCCCGTTTGGTATTATTTTAAAAGGATAAAATCCGAACAGCAGGTCGAGAGGTTATGAGAAAGCGTCGCCTTTTACGCTGAGAATTGAAAAGACGATTTGCTCCCAGTTGTGAAAGTTGAAAGAAAGTTGATATTAAAAACATTATGTTGTGATTTAGGTAGGTATGTCTAGGATTCTCACCATTATTTTAGATTTTAGATAGAATTATTTAAAATTTATTTATACAGACGATTTACACATACATATAATGATTAATTATAGCATTTACGTAGCCGCAGATTTAGGCATATCGTTTAACGTGTTTATTATATAACGGGTGATGGTTGTTGATGTTCACACGTAATATTTGTAAACACAAGTTTGGAAAAATATTTCATCACAACGACACTAAGGTGCTACAGAAACGAGGGCTAAACACAGACTGATGGAGCATGCACACAATCCGTGACTTCCCCTCTTTTCGTCACTCGTTATGCGAACCATCGCTCGTTAAGAGAGGCAATTTTTAAAATTTGTTTTGATCGTCATGCGAAATACTCGATAAGAGAGCTTTCATTGTATTAGCATTTACCAGTGGCGTGCCGTGACATTTGATGATAAGGAAGTTGTGTTTCTGTAAGAAGCTGAGTTCCAGGGACAATCAGTCAGTGATGGTCTAGGGGCCCATTCGTATTCGTTTGTTCGATAAGCCTGTAAAAACCGTAGACTTCTCTAAATGAATTTTTAATTAATGGATTATCTAACGCAGTTAATAAATAAGCAAGTTCAATATAATTATCTCTGTTATATTAAATTTAATAGATTCTCTGCGCCCTCTAAATGCCAATTCTTGCTTCAATAACATCTACTAATTAAAATATAATATATCTGTTAGCCGTAACTATCTTGTTATAATTTTCAATATTTATTTTATATTATGTACTAATGTTAAATTCTATTCTATTTTGATTTTCAAATTGCTTCAATTTTACGAAAGAATCGATGGAGATTTACGATTATCGTGTTTTTTGCCAGCTTTACTCAATTTATTTAAATCGTCAAAGCAATTCGTATTTCACACTAATTTTATTTGAAAATAGTAGTCAAGGCCAACAAAAAAATTTTTGCATTTTCATGCATGCATAAAGCCATTTTACGTCTTCATAAATTTTATCGTGAAAATGTCGAACAAATTTTTGTTGACGTATTTATATTTAATTTAGGCATTGGTCTTTCTATTTTCATAATGTTTTCTTTTTCATTATATCGACTCGAGCCAATAGGTTTTAGAAATAAATTTTCAATATCGCAATTACATTCTAAATCGCTAGCCACAATATAAAGGGTAAAATTAAAAATAAAATTATAAAACTTACTTGTTAAAACAAAATGTGTGATGGATATACAAATATGCAGTAGAGCGTCGATTATCCGAAAGTCAATCATCCGAAAGAATTCCAGTCGGCAAATTTAAATTTTTGCCAGTGCTGTGGCGCTGCAATCTTTGGCTATGTCTTGGGCTACTCAAATATTTTACGTTTTTGATACTAAATTAACTTCTGAAGTATAATTTTTTATAGTTTTTATATTTTTCAACATATTTATTTTGTTCGTACAAAGTAAAAAAATAATTTTTAACGATACAATAGTCTTCGTTAGGCTTAACATCGACGGAAATTCAACGCGAAGCGACACGCAACGGAGAAAAATGTCAAGAGGGGATAAATTAATATATTTTTTCGTACACAATCGGTTATCCGAAACATCGATCTACCGAACAACCTCAGTCCCCAATTGATTTGGATAATCGACGCTGTATTGTACATACCTGATACAAAATATTCAATTGTATGAATATACTTTTAAAGAAAATTATAAATAAATATAGTTTTGTGAAGCCACGTACATAAATGAGAATAAAAATAGTTTTTATTTTTTAAGTATTAAAACAATCCACCTAGTTAAGATTGGTCTATACCCGTGACTAGTGGATGGAATCAGAGACGTTCTTGGTAGGTGTGCGGTGTGTGCAGGCAGGCAAAATTCTGAGGGTGCCGATACCGGTTAATGTCAAATGCCTCTTTTGTCGCATCACTACCTCAAAGAACGCGACAGGGTTGTTGTAAATTTTAAACATTTTTCGCCATAGCTGTAAAAATCTAAATTTGTTAAACTTAATATTCACTTGTTTTTTAACTAATTCGTTTTAAGACCAGGAGTCCACGGAAATTTTCAAAATATACAACTTTTAGTCACTTTCATTGAACTGGAAAAATTTTCTTTATTACATCTAATATTACGAAGAAATCAGTCCACACTGTACTCGGATAAGCTTTTGTTTAAGTAAAATACCGGTTCTTTCAGCAGTGTTTTATTTGTGTCCCCACTTCCCTAATCGCTTAATTATTTAACTAATTCTTAAGTAGAAATAAGTCGAAACCAGTTACTTTGTACTCGAATATTTGTAGTCTTGGGAAATAAGTGGAAAGAAATTTTTATGACAACGGATACTTAAATCGTAAATTTAAGAAATATACATTCTGGAGTATTTTCTGTACCTCGTGCATCTCTCATTCATTAAATTTAGTTGTAAATGATGCTGTCAAAGTATCAGTTAATTTTTTAACATTATACAAGAATTGTACACGTTTTTATCTACATCCCTTATAGATGGGACATAAGAAATCGTAATATCACCGGTTTAACATTGAAATCCGCGAGTAATATAAAATCGGAGAGCGAAATAAAAATATCAAATATTTTAATGGATTTTTTTAAACTCCTGTCAACTATAAGAACTATCATAATAACATACCAGTAAATTCTTATCGGTTGGGTTAAGCTATTAATCTACTCGCGATTCTCGTAATAGGGCGTGGGCGGCCAAATATCTAGCGGGCAGGCGGCTAACGGCCCAGAACCGGTACTGGATAGAATTGGATGCGGTACACGTGTAGCTTTCACCCAAGGTCCTAGGCTTCCACCAGCTAAACCGGGTGAGGTTGGTGCTCTGTAAAGCGAATGTGCGAATCTGGATTTTTGGATGCTGGCAATACAGCGCTTCCACAACGCCACTAATATTCGAATATACAATAGCAATCTTATTTTTTTTATATACTGTAGTATAGAAATTTGTAATAAGATACATAATGCGGTTGTTATTTTCATATAATTAAAATTAATATGTGTGAGATCCGCAATTTTTACACCGATGTCGGAAAAATCTTTGTAAACAACTCCGGTGAAAAAAACACACTTGTTGAGAAGTATATGGGAGGTCACCGATTGTTAGGTGGGAAAGTTGACACTTAGTTGATCGAAATGCACCGTAAGTGTCAACAGAAGTCGATCACGTGACTCATTTCCCACGAATTACGTATAAAAGCTCTAGTCCCGGAAGCTCCGGGCGATTTAAAGGAAGTTATACTTGTCAATGTGTGCATCGCGTCTCCCGGACCTCCATACAACGGACTCGAACGGACGAAAGGAGAAGATATCGGTAAAAGTCAGACCACGGCTTCGAACTTCCATTCTTATCGCCATACTACTGTTCTACGCCGGACTACGATTCATACGGCATTCCGTGAACGCACATTCGACATATCCTCATAGAGGTATTTGCATTGTTTTCGAGCGTCCCTTTTTGTATAGTGAAAGTATTTAAACGCATTTAACCTATGTATCCTAGCTTAGTTATATAAATAATGCTTGTTTAGTTTGTTCAACCTGTCTCCTGTCTCTAAATGGCACGTGCCGACATACCGATGCATTCCCTACTCACTTTTGCCCTCCTAGCCATCCGACAAATCAGAGATCGGGTTTTACCAACTTGTTGCAGAGTAAGTGGTCATTTGGGGATTAGCCCAAGTCAAGTCAAGTCAATCTTAATATTTATTATGTACAAAAGTTAGTACAAAAACCCGGCACCGCATAGGCACAACCGGGTGGGGTCAGAACACATAAGTTGAATAAATAGTACATGGTATGTATAAAGTAACAATAATTGAGTAGGTGATAAGAGAAAATAATAAAATAAAGTTAAAATAAAATTAAAATAAAATAAAATAAAATCAGTACAATAAATACAGTATAATAAAATAAAATACAGTACAATAAAATAAAATACAATACAAAGTGGTATAACATAAAATATAAAGTAAGATAGCAATAAATACAGTATAATAAAATAAAATACAGTACAATAAAATAAAATACAATACAAAGTGGTATAACATAAAATATAAAGTAAGATAGGATACAGTACATTACGAATAAAATAAAGTACAATAAAGGAGTACATTTTAAAAGAATACAATGATTGAGATATGTACAACTATAGAATCCATAAACAATTTACATTAAGTACATTGAGGAAAAATACAGTGAGTCAAATATATATAAGTAAAACATACACCGAATAGGGCCATTAATGCAGTATAGAATGGTATGTGGTTTGAAATGGATCCAAAAAATAGAAGATATAAACATTAGAAAGGGTATCGAGAACTGCAGAAGTGGAAGTGGGAGACCCAGTGACAAAATCAAACAGTACAATAACGTAGATGCAGAGACTTCCTTAGAGCACCATTCACTTGATTGAAGTACGGCGAAAATAGTTCTTCACGAGGTTCTTGAAGGCTGAGAACAAATTACCATCCTGTAGGAGAAAGCTTTTATGGCAGGGCCAGGCGCTGCCTGTAGGAAGAAAAAGACGAATTGTTTCCCTGGAGTCTTCCAGCATAGGGCAGTGGAAGATATAGTGCTGGACTCCGTCTAGAACACCACGATGAATGCACTGGTCGCTGTCAGAGTGACCAAACCTACAAAGATAACTGTTGAATCTACCATGTCCGGTCAGAAATTGGGTGAACAGTTGGGTGTCGTGGCCATCAAAGGTAGGTTTAGTGGTAGGAACGTTAGGAAAAAATTTCCATGTTGTCCGACCCCCATGGCAGTTGTTCCATCTTTCTTGCAAGGTGTTAATTGCATCTGTTCTGTGAAGACGCTTAATGAAGAAGGCAGGTGTGAGAGAATAAAAACATTAGAAGAGAGACTGGCAGCTTCCCCGGCAAGGAAGTCAGCCCTCTCATTGCCAAGCAGTCCCCCCTGACCTCTAATCCATGAGATAGTGAAGACGTTATTAAAGGCGGCAATGCTTGCTTGAATCTTGATGACAAGGGGGTTCTTAGGCAGATGATAATTGATGGCATCAATTGTAGATCTGCAGTCTGTAAAGATGTTGATCCTGTTGTTGCTTTTGTAGTTGTTGCACCACTCAATAGTCATCAAGATGGCGGTGAGCTCTGCCTGATATGCCGAGCAGTTCGAGGCAAGATGATCAGTCCCACAGTAACATTCCACACCATCCTGATACACCACAAACGCACTACCAACATTCTTCTCAGACTTAGAGCCATCAGTATAAGTGGTTAAATCTTCATGGTCAAGAGGCTGGTTCTTGATTTGGGGTCAAAGAAAGGGAGGAAATAGTTCTAACAGGTGGCAATTAGTCTCATAAGAGGTGAATGATTGGTTGGCCAGACAGATACTGTGACCCTTACGAAGGTGCCAACCTTTGGAAGCCAATGAAATAGCAAGGTCAATAGGCATTTTACCAGAGATGACCTGTAAGGCAGCCTTGGAGGAAGTAAAAAAGGCACGGCAGATACAAAGAAGAGCTCTGCGTTGTGCACCACGGAGTTTCCGTTCAATATGCACACGGCCTAAACAGCCAGCCCACACTGGTGCGGCATAGTAGATCATTGATAGAAAGACACTGTCATAGATTGTAGAAAGAATAGCTTTGGAAAGCCCCCACTTCGACTTTGCAACCTTGGAGACAGTGTTGAATAGATCGTTAGTCCTGTTAGTTATATAGGCAATATGGTCAGCCCAGTTTAGCTTGTGGTCGATGATGACCCCTAGATACTTGATGGTGGTAGTGATTTTGATAGAAACCCCATCCATTTTTATAGTGGGTGGCCTCCGGTAAAGATGAGGCTTACCGGGATTCGTAAAAACTATACCCTTGGTTTTGTTGGCATTAAACTTTAATTTATATTTCATGCCCCACTTGGTAATGTTGTCCATCACTTTTTTGGCCTTGCTCTCTAATTTAGAGCGAGAAAAGGCTGCCAGAAAGATCAGAGCATCAACCGCATATGCGAAAATACCATCACAGTGGGGATTAGCCCAGTGGCCTGCTGCTAATCTCACATATGTATTTATTTTTTAGAAAATACGAGTGAAGGGCCACATCCACCGCTTTCAATAACAGCACGCCACTGGCATTTACAATCTTTTTTCGTAAAATACATTTATACACTCAAAATTAAACATTTTACTGTTTTATAATAGCCAATTATATAAAAATGTTACATATAAAAAATCATTACAGGTGTTTTTAGTATTAAATATTGCCGGAAAGTTAAGCAAATCGTTGCAAATTTTTTTCAATGTTTAAAGTTGTGTTTGTTGTTTCAGTGTTGGATTCTATCGGTAAATTTCCCTCAGGATTTTTACGAGGAACGTTGTGGATACAAGGTGATTACGATCAATGCCTTGACATCGAAATTATACAAAATAAACTCATCAGAGGCAAATTCTGTTCAGTTCTTATGAAAGTGCCAAAGTTACGACAGGAGACAATACAAATAATTTCTTCATCCGACACCACAATCGTTCAATTATTGAAGAATCTCTCTGTGAGTATATAACGATAATTTTGTTATATTTTACTGATAAAAATAAAGTTAGTTAACGTGTACATAACTCAATACATACCATGTTTCATAATAATACTATAGTATATTGAAAATAACTGAAAAAAACAATAATTTACAAGAAAAGTGAAACTAGTTCCTCATAATAGTGGTAACATTTACAGATAAGATTTTTGATGCTGATGGACGTAATCGTCATCTATGTTTCCTTAATTATTTGCACTAGTAAATACCGTAGTTTACTAATTTAAGTATAAGATATCAATTTAAAAGGTAATTCAAGTTACTTCATGTCAGCTTTCTGTCAATGATTGTCTGTTTGTTATGCGCATAAAGTTATTCGTAACGACGTTCTGTACCTAGCCATGCATTATTATATACGTTTATAAGCAGCGTCAGTGCCGTATAAGTTTCAATAACCTTTCTTATATGCTCGTTTACCACGAAATCTACTTAATACAGTAGAAACAGAATGTAATTTGGCGATCTGTTCCTGTGTCAAAAAAGCAAAGATTATTTCTTATATGTCAACTCCCAGTATATTAGGAAAAACTGCTACAAACTTGCCAAAGGTAATGTTGTGTAAACCTTTATTTAATCAAACATGGCATTCCCCATAAAACTAACAAAGTTCTATTAAAAACTGAAACAAGTTTTTCCTAAATAGTTATAACTGCAGGTGTAATGTATATGTAAAGTACATCATATTTTATTTGTCAATCTAAAGAAACACAAAATATTCACTTTATAGGGCAAACGTGTTGGTACAATTAAGCTATTTGATCCGAATCTGGATGGAAGAATAATCATTGAATATGAAATTTTTAAAAGCTACTATTCGTTATTAAACTTGCTAACTATTATGGGCAAACTTACCGTTTTATTCCTAAATTTCTCGTAATCTTATACACTTTTTTAAATATTTCTCTCATCTTGCCGATTTCCCTTTAAATTTAGGAGGAAAAATACGAAGTTGTCATAGTTGGCTACGGGTATGTAATGTTTCACAAGTGACTTTCAGTCTAGGTCAGTGTTTCCCTTTTTTTGTGCTATTTACCACTTAATCATTTCTAAAATTCTTATGTCCCCCTAACATATACAGCGGCAATACTGTTAACTTAAACTGTGGACATGTTCATTTTCAAATTGCCCCACTTAACAATCCAATTGTTCCCCTGTGGGGAGGTGTTCTAGGTTTTGAAAAACACTGGTCTAGATGGTATCGTTTTGTTTACTTACAGATGTACTTCGGATGTTTTCAGTTAAAAGACGATTAAAAATTTAAGTACAAATTTTCGTCAAAAAAATTATATGTATTGTGAAAACATCAGTGGAATAAGTTTCATCGATTATTTCTTAACATTAAGGTAAATCAGTGAAACGTTTCGTTATTGCGATACATAACCTTTATCATTTGATTATTCTTTAGCAGCTAGAGTCTTTTATAATTTACATACAATAAAATTCCAAAAGCCCAAGAACATCTTTCACTAACGAAGATTTTCTACTTTGAATTTTTAACGCCATGCTTAATGCCTGTTCTTTGTATCATTTAACAAAAGCCTGAACCAAACGAATTTGAGATCGCTGCTTCCTAATCAAGCGTGTATGTAGCACGTTCTAGTGAACTCTGAACGTGATTACTGCTGATATACATAGGCTTATGAAGAGTATTTGGAAGCAAAAATAGCAAAAATACAGTCTTATACAAAACTAAAATAATGTTTTTCTAAAACCCAAAATATTAATGCCAATTCTTGTAATTTCCAGAAACCTTTTTCTCTATTTCAAACGCTAAGCGTGTTGGACGATCTGCGTTTAGATGTTTGTATTCCAGATTCCTGTAGTAAAAATGACTTGGAAAATATTGGAAATTGGTGTAAGTTTATTGCAGTGATATATTAAAAACATTTAAATATTGTCAGTAGCCAAATATTTGTAAGTAAATTTATTTTAATTTTAATAACTCAAATATTTCTTTATATATTATAACATTATAAAACATTATAAAAATATGAAACAGAACCTTATACTGTAATTGATATTTTTTATTTATAATACATCTGACAGTTATTTTTAATAGTGTAACTTTATGCTTATTTTTTAAGTAATAAGAAATTACATACAAATTGAAGTAGAATTCTGTAAAACGAAAGAAGAGAAGAACGAATATTCAATGCCTCAACTAATTTGTTTGTAAGTTATTTTTATATTCATATTTTAGTTATTACGCAACAAATTAAAATATATCCTTTGTTCACCACTGCCACACGATCGCCCTTGACGGATATATCCGTCTGTCACTGCCGAGTGTTAATGGTAACAGACAATGACATGGTTTACAATCGTAACGTTCATTGAATGAATGAACTTTTGAATAATATAGACTGACTGTTTCGACTTTCTTGTTTTTAGTTTCCTAGTTTAAGTGATGAAATGTAACTCGCTGAATAGTGTTCGATTTTATAAAGTTAAAAAAGCAAATTTTTATTAACCATTTTGCGATATCTTTAATTCTGGAAAAACGAAAATACATTTGGGCGTTAACCTATATACCCCTATTGAAAAAGTACGAAAGAGTTACTTTGGCAAGAAAAAAAAATCTAAACGGAATGTTGGTTGCTAAACATTATCATGATAAATAAACCGACTAAAGGCTAATCACTGTCGAATTTTTTTTTTTCGCGGTTTAAACAATTTTCGCAAAATGGACATATACTTTTTTTCCTCGATTTTCGCTCTTTCTAGCATAAATTTAAGAAAGACATTTACTGTGAAGACACGATACTAACAGAAAATTTATCTTGTAGTTGAATTTCTTGGTTTTTTTCGATTTTGAATCGATTGCCATCAATCGGTTATTGCTTTGATTGGCGTTTTGTTTTGGGATCTTTCCTAAAGACTCAAGTCTGATTACTAGTTATTACTTTGTTACCTGTCCATATCTTTTTCAACTATCTGAAGCCTGTTTTGGTAGATATTTCGCGTTTTATTTTTGCTACGGCATCAACATTTTCAGAGCGATTATGCCGGTTTTTTTAAATTAAATATTTTATGGATGATTGAATGAAATAGCCTGTATGACATTGATTTCTTCAACAACCTCTCATATCTTTACCCTCTGATTTTCGGATATCAAGTTCTTAACTTTTCAAACAGTCTTGTGTTGTCTCACTGTTTTTGACTAGACCTTTAAAACAATGGGATTAAAGCTGAATGGACCTGCAGTTGTTTCAAAAGTTTTTGTATTTTCAACATGCTGTTGATATTTTTATTGAAGTTTCATCAAAAGTGTTTTGTGTCATCGAGAATCTCTTACTAAAAGATTCCTTCAAATTAAAGCATAAATTTAAGTTAATCCTTCATTGAAAATTGTCGAAATGATATATTACGAATGCTTCAAATGTACGAAGCACACAGATCACCAAGTTATTCTTGCCAAGCGTTCAGTATTAAGCTTTATAGACAAACTGAAATATTTTACTCAATTACGAATTTATATTAAGTCAGTTCAGGAATTTTTTATCACAACATTTTTTTCATATTTCTCGTATAAATACAGTAGAACCTCAAAAACTCGGCTCTCGATAACCCGGCACTCCGGATAACTCGGCCACACCCTGGCAGGGCAAAAAAATCCTTAGTTAATTAATTTTCATTATAGACAGCTTTATAAAAGTATAAAAGCTCTCATAAAGTATTTTTCTGAGGTCTGTCTTATCAGGTAAATTACTGTACACAGTGTATTCATTAATTTTCATTTTCATGTAGTAAAGGCTCT